AGGTGGGCTGTGAGCTCGTCCACCCATCTAAGCTCAACTGTACGAGTGGCTCCAAAGAGAGATGAACATTTTTTTTCTGTGCCGGGGGCTTATCCTCGTACCAGGTCACCCATCGTAGGGGGCGCGCGGTATGTGGTACTGGACGGTCCGCAGATGTTGGGAGCGAACCGCGGGCCCAAGGATGGTATTTAGGGCCCTACCCACTAAAATTACCCACTAAATTTTGAAGTCGTCGTTGCCTAAAGGATAAAACGTCCAGTGCATTCGTATGTAGCGATGCACCGGTGTTCGAATCCCGCAGGCGGGTACCAATTTTTCTAATGAAATACGTATTCAACAAATGTTCACGATTGACTTCCACGGTGAAGGAATAACATCGTGTAATAAAAACCAAACCCGCAAATTTATAATTTGCGTAATCACTGGTAGTAGGACCTCTTGTGAGTCCGCACGGGTAGGTACCACCACCCCGCCTATTTTCCGCCGTGAAGCAGTAATGCGTTTCGGTTCGAAGGGTGGGGTAGCCGTTGTAACTATACTGAGACCTTAGAACTTATATCTCGAGGTGGGTGGCGCATTTACGTTGTAGATGTCTATGGGCTCCAGTAAACACTCAACACCAGGTGGGCTGTGAGCTCGTCCACACATCTAAGCAATAAAAATAAAAAGCAACATTGTATAGCAGTTACTTATTACAAAATAAGTATTATAATATATTAATTACTTCTTATATTTAATTACTCCAATTGCTTATCATAAATTCCTTCACCAATACAAGACGTAAATATGTATAAAAATAATTGGTAAAGATTACAAAACAAAGACTTTGAAAGTACAGGGTCTGAGGAGACAACGTGAATGTAAATTTTCGAATGAAGCAATTCATTTGCTCATAATTTGTTAATATTTTACAAAAAAAATATGTTTACTCATTGAACCAAGCGCAGAAAATTTATATTGATAATTATTTTGCATATTAATAGGAACAGAAAAACCAATAAGATAGGATTTTTAAAGTAATCTTGCTGTGGGCTCTGAGGTATAGGATTATTTTGGGAAAGGCTAATTGGCCCGAAATACCCAAATTTGGGAATTTTCTCTTTGTCTCTTCTTCTTCAACATACAACAAGCGACGAAAATCTTTAAACAGAAGATAGTATTGTTATTTTGTTTAAAAAATAGTCAAGCAAGCCTTGTCTTGGCAATTAGAAAGACGATGAAAAACAAATAAGCCGTATTGATTAGATATACATAATATATATTTATAATAATTTTCCGACATATATTATATATTAATACATTCATGTTTGTTTTAAATAAGACATTGCCAGGTGGTCGGCTCAAATAACGCTTCACGGCTACCAAAACCCATGAGTTATTTGATCGAGGCCTCCGTCATAACATTTTCTATTTGCCACAACACAGAGTACCTGTATTACTTAAAATATCAAATATGAAAAAAAAGCGGCAATGAAAACCAAATAGATGTAATAGCCGTGTTTTAAATGAAAGGAATAATTTAGTTGTAATTTGTTACTATTATCATTCGTTTGACGATTATCATTTTGACCTCGAACCATACTCCGCTGTCCCAGTCAAGGCGAACGGTAGTGGTAAACAATGCCATAACGCCCGGGCACTGATCCCGGCGGACGACAATCGCAAACACTTGTATCGATAATATCAGTGGGTGCTATTCGAGAATTTATATTACGGAACATTAATTTAAATCTTCAGTCCATAGATTATGCACTTAATATTTGCTTCAGTCAGTTGATGATCTCGTGAGCGCTTCTGCGTTTGTTGAAAAGTATGGTTTTATGCGATTAATTGCGGGCTCGATATTGATAGCGTTGTCGCCTCTTAACTAGATATTCACGTTCGTGAAACGTGTTCACTGATGATCAGTGATAGTGATCTTCCGAATTATACCTTAAATATTGAAGTAGGTATTGGAATATTCTTTTTGTCTCTCGTAATCTTAATAGTATTCGAATAATAATCATCCTACACTTCAGACCTGAATGTTTGACAATTTTGCCGCAAAAATGTGAAACACCTGCGCTGTTTGAAAGAGTTTAAATGTCTCACAAGTAATTACATCTGTCTCTAAGAAAACCATAGAAGAGGGTGAACGATATATCCGTTTCTGTCAGTTATGCGAGTTTTTATTGATATTCAAATCAACTGACATTTCTATTATATTTTAAGTGTACCTACATATTATTATTACTATCTGTGATTTCTATGAATGTAACTCTTTATAGAAGCAAAGAAGAATAAACGACTTTTATTCTAATTTTTATGTGTCACGAAGCGAAGGGATGCAAAATGGTCGATCTAAGTATCATTGATTTTATGATCCATCATCATTAAGATACCTGTTTTAACCAGACCGAATCTAAATCTTTTTCTTTTTTAACTCTAAACCTAATTCAAATGTTTTCAGATCGTTCCCTTGTATAGTGAGCCTTAATGGGAATTGTTATGGTATTTTAATGTTACACTACACGTCCCTGATGAGTTTTATCTGACGCAACATCAGAAATCCGTAATGCCATATAACAGATCGCCACGCTCAATTTTAAGATAAAAGCTTTATAACAACGTCTTCTTTTATTCAATAGATAGTAGACTAATGGATTTAACTTGTATGTTTTGTGACTCGGAGTGCACTCAGTAACGGATTCCGTAGTCAAGTTAAGCAGATAAAAAAAGATTTCACTTAATTCTAAATTGAACGTAACTGAAAATGTATTATTTCTCAGAAACTCAAATTTGACTATCTATTTTGACATAATATGGCTACGGAACACTAATCCATACTATGTTATAATGTAATATGATTTTTACATTTTAAATGATAATGTAATTTTATATTATTTATATTGTATATTATAGTATCACTGGTTATAACAGCTGTTCGCCTGTGCTATCTTTTGTTTCAGTTTCTTTTCTCACATTTCAAGGTTGGCGTCTTATTATTGTTTGTATTATTAATTTTTACTGGTGGCAGGACCTCTTGTGAGTCCGCGCGGGTAGGTACCACCACCCTGCCTATTTCTGCCATGAACCAGTAAGGCGTTTCGGTTTGAACAAGTAATTACAACGGCTGGTGCAAATCAAATCAAATCAAATCAAAAAAAATAAATTCAACATAAATGAAAGTACCATACTTGTTGAACGTCAAAAGAACTACCGCCAATTCACAAGAACTAGCCTCCGTCCTGAGAAAAATTGGCAAGAAACTCAGCGGGCATGTCTTTTTTTTTTAAATATTAAATATTAGATTATTTTTTTAATATTCATTTTTACATGAGTATTATAATATAACAATTATTACATTATTGAAATGCCCGGAGCGAGCAACTCATTCCCACTTTGTGCAATCTTCTAGATAATCATTGACTTTATAGTAAGCTTTATTGCACAGATGTTCTTTAATAGTTTTCTTAAACCTATGTATATGTAGGTTCTGAACATCTTGTAGGATTTTGTTGTACAGGCGCACAGACAAACACCCGAATGAATTTCGTATCTTATGTAACCTACGCATCGGCACAACAAGCTTGTGGTTGTTCCTAGTATTTCTATTATGTATGTCCGACATTTTAGGAAACTCCTCAATATGTTTACGAACATACATCAAATTTTCAAAGATGTACTGGGATGGCATAGTGAGAACTTTAATTTCTTTAAATTTTTCCCTCAGGGATTCCCTTGAGTGCATGTTATAAATAGCACGTATAGCTCTTTTCAGCCATTGAAACTATACTTGAGACCTTAGAATTTATATCTCAAGGTGGGTGGCAAATTTACGTTGTAGATGTCTATCATCATTATCCTGCCCTTCTCCCAGTCACCTGGGGTCGGCGCAACATGTTTCCTCCTTCCATACTCTTCTATCATATACCATTTCTTCGCTCACTCCCCTCCTACTCATATCGTCTTTCACACAATCCATCCATTTCTTCTTAGGTCTACCTCTTCCTCTAAATCCTTCCACATTCATAGTTAACACTCTCTTAACAACCTCATTTTCATTTCGTCTCATCACATGTCCATACCATCCCAAACGTGCACTCCTCAGTTTCTCTGTCACAGGTGCCACTTTCAGACTTCCTCTAACATATTCATTCCGTATTCTATCCATTCTCGTTACTCCACACATCCATCGCAACATTCGCATCTCTGCTGCATGCAATCGCCTTTCATCCGCCACTTTCGTAGTCCAACAAGCTGATCCATACAAGATGGCAGGCCTTATTAAGGTCTTATATATCTTCCCTTTTAGGGGAAGAGGGATGTGCGAGTCACATATGGTGCCCGTGACCTGCCGCCATTTCATCCATCCTGCGTCAATTCTTGAGTTCCAGTAATCACTTAACACCAGATGAGCTGTGAGATCGTCCATCCGTCTAAGCAAAAAATAATAATAATAATAATAAGTAAACATAAATGTTATTAAGTCCGCGGACTTCGTTGTCAGCCCTACCTACAGCTGTACAGCAGGAAGATTAAGTGCTATCTATCAAAACAAAAACGAATTAAATATGTTTATTTAACTTTTTAAACGGCATATTAACCGTCCTACTTTTTGCTTACGAATTATTCTGTTTCCGCTACATGTCACACTTTTAACCTTGAAACCTGTTGTACCTTTCAAGCACCTGTCTGTCATTTTAGACAGCTTTTCTGGATCTCTGAACAAACTTGAAAATCAAATGAAATGAAAATCCTAACAGTTTTTTTATTTATTTCAATTACTAAAAATGAACTCTCAATGTGACCACGAACTGATTGTGAATAAAACATGATTATCGTCTTATCGTTACGTATATGAACATGTTGCAAACAAATTTCTTATTTCCACACAATCATCCTATTATCGGTCATCGACAGTGCACTTGTTACCTAGAAAACAGAAGTCCATAATTCAATAACCTATTTTCATAGTAGGAAATTATCTAATAGCTCAAAACAAAATAAATAAACTTAGTACGCAGTCTGCCGCCGAGTCGGTTGCACGCGGTTTGTGTTCGATATCTACCGTATGAAAAAATAAAACGGAAAATAATTTACTTGTATTGTGGTGAGTTATAAATTATTTATATTATACATAATTCATTCTATGAGCTACTATATTCACGTTTCCTTAAAAGCTTATTAAAATCGTTGTTGATGATGGCAATTAAAACTAATATAAATATCCCATCATATCGATTGCAAGGTCGCGAAATGATTCGCTAAAAATATGCGCGAGATGTAACGTACTTTTAGTAATGTACGTGTTATTTTGCGTTTTTTTTTGTAGCATATTTTATTAATTTGATGTAATTTGATATTTAATAAAATATGGCAGTGATAAATATTTACACCGAACAAACATTAAGGGAGTTGAACCTACGATGTCATCAATTTGAATATTTATATTATTATGTTTCGATAATTCAAATTAGATTAATATAAATCTATTCTGATTAACAAACTTGATTATTTTATGAAAATTAAAATTCAAACAAAATGTTGAGACAAATAAAGATATCTACAGTATTACACTTCTTCCATTAAGTACATACGAGGGCGGCATTGAAAATTTCGGGAATTAACGAAGTGACACAACATTACTATTTAAAAATGTATTTATTGCTTTTCGAAGTATTCTCCGCGAAATTTGACACATTTTTCCATACGATGGAAACAATCATTGAAGCAACCATTCCATTCGGAAGTTGGGGTCTCCAAAATGGCCGTTTTGTAGGCGTCCACAGCTTCTTCAGGTGATGAAAATCTCTGTCCACGCAATTTATTCTTTATTTTAGGGAAAGTATAGAAATCATTAGGGCTTAGGTCGGGGCTGTACGGCGGATGGTCTAATAATTCTATGTTTTCTTGCTCTAAAAACTCTTTTGTTCTGTGCGCGGTGTGAGAACTCGCATTGTCGTGATGGAGGATGATGCGGCGGTTGCAGTTCTCTTTACGGAGTTCAGAAACGACCTGTGGCAAACAAATGCTAGCATACCATTCTGCATTAACCGTTCTTTGTCCCTCAAGAGGAATAGTCGTAACATGGCCGGTTTTGGAGACAAACGTGGCCACCATTTTTTTTGCAACACTCCGTGAACGAACAATTTTTGTTGGCTTTAACTCATTTTCGAACACCCAAACTCGTGACTGGTTTTTTGTTTCGGGTTCGTACGCGTATATCCAGGATTCGTCACCTGATACAATGTTGTATACAGCATTTGAGGATCCTGCGTGGAATCTTTCGAGAGTTCTGACGCACCAAGTAACGCGAGCCGCTTTTTGCTCTTCACAGAGCGAATGCGGTATCCATCGGGAAAACAACTTTTTTACACCTAATTGTTCATGCAAGATTATTTGTATTTGACTCATGCCAATGTCTAAAGTTGCCTGAATTTCGCGGTATGTCACATGTCGATCTTCCTCAATCAGCTTACGCACAGCATCAACGTTTTCTTGGGTGACTGCAGTTTTTGGACGACCTTGACGGGGATCATCACTGAGCTTGACACGTCCACGTTGAAACTCAGCAAACCAGCGATAAATTGTGGTTTTGGATGGGGCTTCATCACCAAATGCAGAAATCATCCGGTCAACACACTGTTTTTGTGTTAAACCACTTCGAAAGTCATAATAAATCATCGCTCTTGAATTTTCTCGAGTCAATTCCATTTTCTCAACGACTAAACAAGTTTGACAAAACCTCGTGACAAGACCGAGAATCTTTTTTTAAATAAATAAATGGTATTCGATTTTTAAAACCAAGGAGTTTTCAATTAAAAAGATTTTAATATGACAGGAACAGTGGAAATATTCCATTCCCGATACTTTTAGTGCAGCCTAGTATACAAGGTTTTCAATAATTTTAAGTTCGTAATTTATGATTCATATAAAATACTGGCTGGTTCGACCAAATCCGCACCACTCTAGAGATCCCATTCCACGACGCCCTTCATGCGGCCAATGATCGGAGGCGCTCGCGGGACATTACAAGGTGTAAAATCATACCGAAGTATAATGGTCGCGACCCTCAGCATGAGGAAACGACGTGAGGAGGATAAAATACTGAACTGTGTAGTAAATATATCATCATAATCATAATCGGTTGCTCTTGGCAGAGCAGTCGTGGTCATGTGGAATTCTTGCTTATTAAAGCCTTGACAGATGTTTTCCATAGGTTGCGAACCGAGGCCTGGCGCACACACTCGTTAAGTGGGGTTTCAGTAAGATCTTTCACCTGATCAGTCCAGCGCATGGAGATTCGTCCACGAGATCTCTTACCATTGACCCTACCCTGAACAACACGTTTCTCGATAGACTCTGCTGGCCGTCGCGATACGTGTCCAAAATATCGAAGAATCCTGGATTGCACTGTTGACGACAACCTTTGAGAGATATTTCGTTTTTTTAGGATCGAGGCGTTGGTGCGATGCTCAGTCCAAGATATACGGAGCATCCTTCTCCAGCACCACATTTCGAATGCATGATCCTTCTTCTTTCTCTTTCTTTCACAGTCCAGGTCTCAACCCCATATAAAAAGACGGGGAATATATAGAAGGATTAATTATTAATAATAAATAGTATTGAGCTAACACTGTGGATTCCTTAATTATATTTTAAATTAAGATAATACATTTCGTAGTTCAGTTTATCGGAATTGATAATGCGCTCTACAATTCGAGCATTAAAAACTTGTTTCTTGTTACTCAATATTTATTTTTTCCGATAAGTTTACGTAATAACACCAAACCAAATTCGATGTTCATTATATTCTTTTCTAATACGATTATGTCTTTATTTTAATTACTAACACTCTCAATTTACCTTTTTAATGAACAATTAGTTTATACTTTGTCCTCGAGAATTAGCGTTCTCGAGTTGTTGCATTTATTTTATTTGATTGCTTAGATGAGCAAGCTTACAGCCGACCTTGGTATTAAATGGTTACCGGAGCCATAGACATTAACAACGTAAATGGCACGAACCACCTTGGGAAATAAGTTCTAAGAAGATTTATAGTACACTTCAAGCCGAAACTCATTACTGCTTTACGGCAGAAATAGGCAGAGTGGTGGTACCTACCCATGCGGGCTCACAAGACCCCTTGCCACCAGTAAACAAGTTTAAATGCTTAAATGTTCAAGTTAAGAATATGCAGATATAAATAACGAATTAAATTTACTACATAACATACATTACTATCTAATTGTCTATCTTGTATCATACATAATCATGATATATGTTGTTTTTTTTTTCAGATACTTAATTAAACATGGGTAAAGTGGCAACCGCTGAAGCTATGCGGTTCATGGTCGACTGCCTTAAGTCGGTAGGAACGGCAGTCAAGGCAGCTGAGCAGCAAGCGGAACTCCTCATTCAGGCAGACAGACTAGGACATCCCAGTCATGGAATGAACAGACTTGGTATGAAGAAAGTAACGTTCGTATTTATTTTTCATTTGTATCTTTGAATGTTACAGCTGATAGTTCAGATAAAGGTGGCGATCTATCCAGTTATCAAGTAAAATATGGAAGAACCGCTTCCCATCCATTTGTAGTAAGTAGAACTAAGAGGAGTGACCGCGGTCTCTACTTCGGCCAACAGCGATTTCTCTGTTTTTTTTTATATTGCCCTGTGGGCAGACGAGCGTACGGCCCACCTAATGGTGAGTGGTTACCATCATCATGGACGTCGACAATGCCAGGGGCAAAGCCAAGCCACTGCCTACCGCTTAATATTCTCCACGAGCCTCGTTTGAAGAAGAACATGTCATAGCGCTCGGGAAGCACCGTGGAGGGGGGGAGCTCATTGCAAAGTCGGATGGTACGTGGCAAAAAAGATCTCTGGAAACGCACTGTGGATGAACGCAGTGGCTCCAGGTAGTATTGATGAACACCAGAGTAGAGGGTGGCGGACGGTGTGATGGTAAAAACGAGAAAGAAAGAAAGAAAGAAAATCTTTATTCGCCAGAAATATAGTTTACAAGATATTATGGATATAGGACATAGTTTCATATATTTCGCCTGTTTAGGCATGCGAAAATTTAATTTATTTTTATATTAATTATAACACAAAATTTACTAAATCTATCTATTTTTACATTCTATCACTTCTTATTCTAATATTTTATTATGTACAACACTATCATTTAAAAATTCTTGCACACTATAATAAGCCTTGTCTATTAGCCATAAATATAATTTTCTTTTAAATTGAGTTAGTGGAAGATCTCTTATACTGTTTGGTATCTTATTAAATATTCTGATAGTCATAGGATAACAGTTTGTATGGTAGTAACGAGTATTTATACTTGGTAACATTAGTTTAGTAGGGTATCTTGTATTAAATTGACAGTACTCGCCACACGATTTATATAATTGTGGGTGCTTTTTAACAAACAAACAACATTCTTGTATATATATGGATGGTACAGTTAAAATATTATGTTTTTGGAAGAATGGTTTACAAGAAGTCAGAGGATGAATATTGCACATGGCACGAACACATTGCTTTTGTGCAATGAACACTCTATTTATGTGACTAGAATTTCCCCAGAGGGGTATACAGTATCTAATATTTGAGGCGACATATCCATGATAGGCCTGTAATGCAGATGATGGTATCGTCTCAAACAATTCCTCAGTGCACTCAGGCGAGCGTGAAATTCAGGCATCTGTCAACTATCTTGTGTTCAATGATCGCTACCCGCCATAAAGTGTATTTTATGATATATTCCAGAGATGTACGTGAACGACATTATAAGCGGAGCGTGCCAACCCAACAACGAACCCAAAATTCTAAAAGAGAACGCATCCACCGCATGGGTCGACGCTAACAACGTACTAGGCGCAACAGCCAGCCATTTCGCTATGGACATTGCCATTAAGAAAGCCCAGGAGACTGGAGTGGGATGGGTGACAGTCAAAGGTAAATTCTTTACTGTGACGGGAATGTTTCGGGACTTAAACATAATGAGCATTTCGAAGAGTGAAAGACTATTTGTATTGTATATTTTGTATTTGAATGGTGTACCTAAACATAATTCAACTGTTCTGCCGTGCTTGTGATATATACAGTAAAAGCCTTGGAGACACTTTTGAGAAAAACGCGGTTAAAGATTTCAATTTGTACTTTTGACGTTTCTTCCGAAGTTTAGAGCAAACCTAAGTTTTAATAAATGTTTAAGATAAATATAGGCTTTTGTAACAGTTTGCTTATTATTATTTTTATTTAGAAATAATATTTAAATTGTAAAGCATGAAAAAATATTTATATTAAGGAATTAAAAAACTCGCACTAAGCACACAGGCTGGCCGTGAACCCTTTTTTTTACCCATATAAAAGAATTAGAAATATACCATAACGGACAGAATGCTGTTTTAAAAAAATATTACAACGCAGTTAAGACACTTCTAGAAATAGTTACTTAATACAGCGCCATTATAAGGCTTTGTATTAAAAAAAAAGTGTGTGTGTCCGCTCCGACGCACGACTGGAGTTTACTGGATATAAAAAATTAAACGAAACAATACGAGAAATAGTTCTATATTACGACAACACGATACACTACAGATTATTAACAAATTAACGAGACACAAAACAAACGACTAACAAATATATGAAAATACAATAATGAGAGAAACGCGCGATCAGTACGAGGCTTTGTGGCGGACTGCCGGCGCAGCAGCCCGGCGTCACCTGCGATAACGCGGCCGCGCGTTGGCTCCTGATTGGCGCGCGCACGCATCACGCAATCAGGAGCCAATCAGGCGCATAACGCATTTCGTGTGACATGCTAGTACGATTTTGATTGGCGCGCGCACGCATCACGCAATCAGGAGCCAATCAGGCGCATAACGCATTTCGTGTGACATGCTAGTACGATTTTGGTCCCCATAATTTTCATACCCCGGGCCTATATATGTAAATCGATTCTTAAGGAGTAAACTCCAAAAATGGATTGCAATGATGTTTCTTCATCATTCACCGATATCGTATAAGTACTGAAATGTGCCCTATGACACTATGACAATATCGGTTTAACATTGGCCATAACAGGTCGGCTAACCTTGACAGTGACCGGTTAATTGCTATTGTCTCAACTAGAATAAATAAATGAATAAAAGAACAAACACCATTATGTTCAAAAATGTTCATTCTTATTCTTAGGTTCTAATCACAACGGCATAGCAGGGTTCTGGGCAAAGAAGGCAGCTGATAAAGGATTAATAGGCATGGCATTCACGAATACTTCACCTTTACTGGCCCCTACCAGGAGCAAAAAGGTTTGAACATTACTGATCTTAATTATCGTGTCAATTATATACGATTTTTTACAGGTGGTAGGACCTCTTGTGAGTCCGCGCGGGTAGGTACCACCGCCCCGTCTATTTCAGCCGTGAAGCAGTAATGCGTTTCGGTTTGAAGGGTGGGGCAGCCGTTGTAACTATACTGAGACCTTAGAAGTTATATCTCAAGGTGTGTGGCGCATTTACGTTGTAGATGTCTATGGGCTCAAGTAACCATTTAACACCAGGTGGGCTGTGAGCTCGTCCACACATATAAGCAATAAAATAATAATAATAATATACCTTAAACAAATAATTGAAAACGAAAATTGTTTTGCTAAATTACTACACAATTGAAATGTTTTATATACCTCAAGCCCCAAAGTACGTCTGAAAGGATTCGGTAACCACTTAGCACCAGGTGGACCGCGAACTCACTCATCGGTCTAAGCTAATAGAAAGTATTCATGGTATTTATTATTGGTATAAAGTAAAAAATGAAATTTAAAAAAAAACTAAAGATTGCCCAATACTTCGAAGATTCGTAACAACATCTCTGCACGCGTTTTACGCAAGAGCATCCGGGTGATAGAAGGCCAGGTATCCTCGTCCGGCGCCATCTAGGCGGGCTTCGGATAGCCTGCCGACCGAGAGGGCTGGTAGTCGTGGCGCCGACGACCGCCGGTCCGGGGTCCCGAGGGGGAGGGTGATGGGAGAGATGTGCTCCGCACTAAGCGGTTCACTTTCGCGCCTTTACCTATTCATGAGTTCTGTGTCATGCGAGGTTTGGATGCTGGTTGTTGAGTGACAGGAGGTTTTAGTAGGTTCGACTCCGACATGCCCCGCCCGCCATCCCCAGTGGAGGGCGGAAGTGCGGCGATTTCCTCTTAACAAAAAAAAAGGGTACTGTTAACCTCATATCAAGAGAATATAAAAAAAAACTAACAAACATATTGTGTTTCAACATTCAAATGATTTTTTCAACCGATATTTATTCTGCACCGAAAATATCGATGTACCTAAATGCCTGTGATATACTGATGCTACCCCAAAAAAGAATAATGAGAGACCGCCTTGAATAACGTACAAGTGACAACAAACACTTTTGATCACACCTACCTTACTATTTCGTTGACAAATTATTTTAAGTAATATACCCTATCTTATCAAGCTTTTAAAGTATTTAATCGATTTAAAAAAGTAGAACGTTCTCAATTCGGTTATTTTTTTATGTGTGTTATAGTAACCGGCAAACTTCTTGAGCAAATGACCTTGACTGCGCAGAACCGAATTTTAGATCTCTTTGGTGGCGAGGGTGAGGCGCGACGGCAGGGGAAATCGTATCGAGCGCTTTATTGGTAGATCAGTCGAACCTTGCGTCCCGCACCGCGCCTTCATTCCGCTTGCTCCCAAAAGTACGCTTGCGTACAGTGAAAAGTCTGTCGTTATTAATCGTTAAGTTATTTGTTATAATTACTTGTGGACTTTGTTGCCATTGCTATTTGTTGATTGTTTGTTGATTTTTTATAAAACATACACTATGCCGCGACAAACTGGTGTACTATTCAAAAGAAAGGGTAGAAAAATTGTGTACGACGTATATTGCTTCATTATAAAACAGGGGAAGAATGATATGGAAAAATTAAAACAGACTTCGGAAGCAACAAAAACATCAGTGAGTACTGTTAGGTGCATTATTAACGAAGCTAAAGGCTCTGGCTTGCTCGCCGTGTTTCGGACTCCGGGTAAGAAAAGATCAGGGAAGAAGAAAGTTACCGGAATGGATAGTTTCGTTCAATCTGTAATAAAAAGATGTAATCATAATAACTACATAACAAGCAGCGAAACTCCGTACCGTAGAAAGGCTTCGAAAAATTTAAAGAAGATATAAATTTTAATGGCTCGGAATGAAGCTTACGACGAATTATGAAAGAGCTAGGCTTCAGATGGAAAAAAAGAACAGAAAATAATCGGAAGCTGGTAAATGAAAAAAGTAACATTCGATTACTACGAATCGAATATCTTCAAAAAATAATTAATTATAGACAAAAAAGAAGACCGAATCGACCGAGTTGTAAACTACGCCGATGAGCCCTATGTCGACTCATCACGATGATAGCGACTCGGGTGATGAAAACAGTGATGATGATGATGGTCAAGATTATGATAACGAAAAAAAAATTACAAATACCAGCTTCGCTTCAACTGAACCAAGACCTGGCAACAGCTCTAGTTTTGACTTAATAGAAGGAATATCTATTTTACCCCAAGATTAAATTATTACAATTATTAACCTATATTTTTTGTTGATGTTCTCATAAATATATAAATAAATACATATGTTGATTTTAATAATTTAATTGCATTATGACGCAGAGTAAATAATGTTTTTGCACGTGAGTGTACCATGCGCAAACTTACCCCCACTACGTCGACAAATGCTCAAGAAGTTTGCCGGCTATTATACCTTGTAACTTTTGAAATTAACCTATTTTGATGTTTTTTTTTATGGAAGCTGGTGCTTCTCGTCTGTCAATTTAAATAGGACCATTTAAATTAGATCAAGATCTGACCAGTAGCATTTGAATTATCTTTAATAATCAATATTTAATTTACTTCGACTACATGATGATGATATTCTCATTTTATTTTGATGAAGTCGGTTTTCTTTATTGTATTTTTTTTTAAATCTCTGTCATCGTTTCTTGTATTGCAACGAATCCTTAAAGACCGCTAAATTTAATAAAAACGTTGTTCCAGGCAGCTCTCGGTACTAATCCTCTATCAGTCGTTGCGCCCGCTTCGAAAGGAGAATCCTTCTATTTGGACATGGCAACTACAGCAGTTGCTGTTGGCAAGGTATCAAGATTATTTACGAAATCATGTTCACACACATGTCATATTATCAAATTACCACAAATTTATCTATAGGTAGGTTATCATTATTATGAATACAACATTTAAAAGTACTCCTATTTATCTGTCTGGTTCGTATACAATATCATTTTAAACAGAATTGGATGTAAAATACATTCATGCCCACATTTGAGCCTGTCGACATCTTGTCCAGCTGGGTTGGGGGCCTGGTACAGAAAGCAGGAGGATAGTAGAGAAGTGGTTTCTCACTCTGGAGCCCTAACCACTGGTAGCTTGTGTCGTAAATACCGCCATCAGCGGCAATAAATTTTTTTAATTGTGTGTTTTTTTAAAATATGTATATATATTTTTATTTGAAATATTGTGTAATAAATAATATCTTTTTTTTTAAATAGTGTAATAAGTGATAATAATAAAATGATATTCCAGATAGAAATGCAATGTCGTAAAGGCGAACCTTTGCCACTGGGTTGGGCACAGGGACCGGACGGTAAAATAACGCAAGACGCAGAACTGGTAATTTAATTATTACACTATTCATTTCTTATATACATATACATTTACATTTATACATTTCCATACATACATTGCGATTGCATGCAGCAGAGATGCGAATGTTGCGATGGATGTGTGGAGTACCGAGAATGGATAGAATATGTGAGAGGAAGTCTGAAAGTGGCACCCGTGACAGAGAAGCTGAGAAGTGTGCGTTTGGGATGGTATGGACATGTGATCAGACGAAATGAAAATGAGGGTGGTAAGAGAATTTTGACTGTGAATGTGGAAGGATATAGAGGAAGAGGTAGACCTAAGAAGAAATGGATGGATTGCGTGAAAGACGATATGGGTAAGAGGGGAGTGAGCGAGAAATGGTATATGATAGAAGAGTATGGAAGGAGAAAACATGTTGCGCCGACCCCAGGTGACTGGGAGAAGGGCAGGATAATGAAGAATAATTCATTTCTTATATCAGGACGGTAGGGGCAGATGTCGATGAGAATGTCGGACGATCAAAGATTATGGCATAAAAAAAGGAAGGTCTGTGCCCAGCTGTGGGTATCAAAGGGCTGAAGATTTAAAAAAAGCTTTATGATGTAGCGAGTAGGCTAGCAAGCTCCACTTCGTATCACGTTACGTCATGTCACCTGACGTTTCGATACGCTAAGTAGTGGCATTTACGTTGTCTATGAATCGTTCGTCCGACTAAATACAAAATACAAAAAAAAACGCTAAACCGCAACAAAAATTTAGGTTATTGCATTTACTGGTGGTAGGGCGCCTTATGAGCCCGCATGGATAGGCACCACCATAATTCTGCCGGGAAGCATTAATGCGTTTCTGTTTGAAAGATCGGGTAGGTAGCCGCTTACTATAAAAACAAACTTCGAATGTCTTCGAAAATCTCTCAAAATGGGTGGGTGGCATTTACATTGTTGGGCTACATCAGATGGGCTATGAGCTCCTCCATCCTTCTAAACAATAAAATAGGATTGTGACTAAACAAATATCAATTTAAACACGTTAGTTAAATTCGCCCAAAGTGTGCAGGTAACGATATCGTAACTATACTAACATTATATTATGTTAGGCCTTCAAAACGAGCTGCCTCATGCCTTTAGGCGGTGGTGAGAACACATCAGGATATAAAGGATTCGGACTATCTGCTGTAGTGGATATCTTCTCTGGGATATTGTCTGGTGAGTGTCAAGCGTTATGTTTAACGTTTAACCTATTCGTTATTGACAAGTTAAATTCATGATCACGGATTTTAATCTAGATTTTATTATATAAGGCTTGAAAAGGAAGATTATCTAGTATACATATGATTCGTCCCGTGGTTCATTGTTGTAATTAAAATTTAGTTACGCGATATTGAAAATTATTTTCGGTGTCAGATATCCCGCAAAAAGATAACATAGTATTTGTTGTTGCATAATATGTAGGTAATATGAGCATAAAAATGTGATTATATCGTTCATCTAAATGTTTTAGGATCGAATTACGGTCATCACATACGGTCATGGTCGCACACTGGATCCGGAGGTCCAGCGAATCTGGGTCATTGCTTCGTCGCCGTGAACCCGGGAAGCTTTGCACCTGGTTTCGAGGACAGAATGGCGGAGAGTATACAGCACTGGAGACAGTTGGAGCCGGTGAGGAATTAAACTGACTTAATCAGCCTGAATTTTGGATTTTTAAAGTATTTTTGAAGTTTGGATTTTGCAATTACAAATTAAATGTGAAATGTTGATCTGTTCTTACCTGTAGTGAGAGTTTTGTTTTATCTTCATTTTACATATCTCATTTTACCTGGAGCCGCTACGTTCAGTGCGTTTCCAGAGATCTTTTTTGGCGCGTACCATTTGGCTTTGAAATGAGCTCCTCTCCAAAGTGTTTCCCGAGCGCTATGGTTAAATCTTTCTTCAAACACGGCTTGTGGAGAGTACTTAACGGTAGGCAGGCTTGGCTCTGCCCCTAGCATTGCTGAAGCCTATGGGCGACGGTAATCACTCACCATCAGGTGGGCCGTTTGCTGGTCTGCCTACAAGGGCAATAAAATAAAATACTTTTTCTTAAATACACCTAAGTCAAAAACGTAATCTTCTCGTGGCGATCTACAATTGCGTGAGGAGCCCTACACAGGGTTAAGCTTCATACTATGAAGTATACACCTCAGAGTATGACCTTAGTTGATATTCTGCTTCTCCTATATCTGTATCTATAAATATAAATGGCTGAAGTTTGTAATAATTGTGGTTTCCCACTATCTAAGGCATCCATTTTTTTCCAGACCGATCCTAACTTACCAGTCATGGCGCCTGGAGATAAAGAGAAGGAAGCGGCAAAAGAAACTGACGCGAACGGAACTGTATCCTATGTGAAACAGCAGATTGAATCAAGTGCAGAATTGGCCAAAAGACTCAAAGTCAAGCCGATGGTCGTGAAATTTAATTGAACTCTTAATCTCATCGAAAAAATAATGTTTTCTAGAACTTTCTACCATATCTAGATTCTTCTTGGACACTCTTATTATATATTTCTCCGACGCGACTAAAATATTATTTTACGAATTCAAATTGATTTTATAAGTAAGCAGTTTATTTAAGTAGATTATTATTGTATATCTTTAAAATAAAAACCAAGCGAAATCAACCTTCAAAGCGAACTCCGTCTGCTCAATTTAGCTTAGAAATAAAAACTCAACCAACCAATTAGCTAGAAGTATAACTTCAAAACTAAATTGGTAGATAGGTACTCATTAAGAAATTGTTATTATAGCTATATGTTTACATTATCATTAAAGTGTAAAACAAAATAAAGCATTATTTAAATAATACTATAAATTTTTAAATGGGACCAAATTGTGCAAGATGTCATGTGATATTATTACGGCACAAAGTGTCTAATTTTGTGTTTTTATAGTACCCAACGATAATATAATGTATCTGCTATATCAATAAATTATTTTTTTAATTTTTCGTTTCATCATTCGTTTCAAATTTAGTACTAGTATTTGGCTGAAAAATTATTTGGGGCGGATTTTTTTTTATTGCTTTCATGGACGGACGAGGTCACGACCCACCTGGTGCTAAGTGGTTACCGGAGCTTATAGATACCAACGACATAAATACCGCCACACACTTTGAAACATGAACCCTAAGTCTCAGTTTTACGGCTGCTACTTAAAAAGAAACGCATTACTGCTTCATAGCAGGTAGGGTGGTGGTACATAGGCGTGCAGGCTTACAAGATACAGTAATAACTACTACTACTACTACTACTACTCCACTGGCGCTATCACCCCGAAATGGGACTTGGCCTCCGACAGTAAATGTCATTCATTCCGGCGCTGCGCAACACCTTGCCATTCTGGCACTTGAAGCTCGCGTAGATCCCCTTTCGCAGGATTACCAGCGGTACTTGGGCCTCACTACGGGACGGCGTCCCGCTGGTACGTATCCACGTACACTCGTTTCACAGCCTGATCCTGCTCTATCCACACTACATGCAAGATTAGGCTGAATCGTCGCGCCTTCGTCTCTCCTAGAATATTTGGCTCAATTATAATAACATAAACTAGTAATAACGTAATGTAACATTAACCAGTAATAACGCACCGGTTATCGTCTTCGTTCAACGAAGGGCTCGGCAAGTAAATTAGCCCACAGACACAGCCCACTGAGTTTGACTCCCTGGATCTTCTCAGTGGGTCGCGTTTCCAATCCAGTTAGATTAGATTCTGCAAAGCACTGCTCTTGCTAGGGTCAGTGTTAGCAACGTCGTTAGGTCGTCAACTTGTTAGATTACGCTCACATAGCCTCTCATTTCTTTTCCCTACTTATACTGATAGCCTTGAGAGGCTATTTCAGCTTCTCATTAACGTGTAGGTGAACTTACGGGGCTCAAACCGGAACACAGAAGAAGGCCGCGGAACTCCGCGAAACACCGCGGTCTCCTCCCGCTGATGGTCACGGGGCAACCTGAGGGGTTTGAGGCTGCGCCGTACGCTAGTGTCACTCTAGCGCACTGGCACCAGGAAGATGGCACGACGTGTCGGGACTGCGGCCTGCGATGCGGTCCGCGTTCGTGGTCGCTGTTGTCGCTGAACATACTCTAGAAGAGTAGCCCGGTCGGTGGTGTATCGCGTTCCGACCCAGCAGGCTGGTTCTGGCCCAGCAGGGTATCCCGGAACACCAGCGGCAACGCTCGTGCGGCCTGGTGGGGGTGGGCCGCCGTACCACGGAGACCGGCGTCGTTGGTCGTCGACTATCGCCTCGACGACCCGTCGGTTGGGCGTCCTCGGGGTGGCGCCGCGAGTCTGGTGTTGACCGCTGGAACCCCCTACTCTGATCGGATTCTGACCCCGGACGTCGGGTGTAAGAGTGCAGGGGAGTCGTTTAGTGCGGTAGGACCCTAAAACTCCTTGGGCACGCGGTCTGCTCCCAACATCTGCAGATCGTCAAGTCCCTACATACACCGCGCGCTTCCTAGGCGCGGGGACTTCGTAGAAGGTTCGGCTTCCGGCCCGAAAAAAAAACCTAAAAGCACCGTTAATGGATCGGGAGGATCCGTAATGACGTGAAGCTTAGGTAGGAAAAAAAACGCAAATTAGAATTTTTGCGAACCTAATTTTCATAACACCATGTCATTCCTATACCCTGAAAATGTAAATACCATGTATTAAGCATTTCAATAGCGAATTTGATAAATGTCGGCGCAAGGGCAGATCCAGCTTTGGCGCCAGGAGGGGGTCATATAGTCAAATTTAGATGCGTTCGTTCCCAGACGTTTGCCATTATACAAAGTTATTATATTATATTAAATTAATTAAATATTGAAGGTATGTAGTTACATAGAATCTGTATGGTGACAAAATATATAAATAAAATCATTATATTCAATTAGTGGTCCACCTAAATCCTGGAACCAGCTCAGGGGGTGGTCATGACACCCATGACCCCCCCCTGGATCCGCCATTGTGTCGGCGGGATGAAGTACAATCGGATCGCTCGGATCGTCGGATAATAATACACCGGGCATCTTACCCACAGGCTACCACGCCTTCAAATGAAATGAAGTTTATTTATTTGAGACTTCAGATAATCAATTTAGATGAAATTAAATGAAACGAGATGATGAATTTAACGCTCAATAACATGGTGGTAATATACTGAGACTTTCTGGAAGAACCCGAGAAGATACGTCCACCATTTTATTTCGTTTTCCCACAATTTTGAACTTTTAGAGGTGCTAGACAATGAATAGGCCATCATTATTAAACGTTTAAAGCTAAAGAAACAAAAAGAAAAATAAAACAAATTGCACAACTTCGCTCCTCGCGTTTCCGCCAGAGTCCAATTTTGTATTCTTGTTTTTTTAAGTATGGCAATTGGCTTCTTGCCAGTATCGAATTTATTGCCATTACTGCCAGTGTCAAATTTATAAAAATATTCAGTTAATGTAAATTGATATTCTACAAAAATAATATGAAGCAAAATCAGATGATGTTGATTAATTTGAGACTTTAATCAATTGGAATGAAATTAAATGAAACTAGATGAGATAAGATGAAATTTTGTACTCATTTGTTGTTTTTGCGCTAAAAAATTTTCTCTACACTCTTGGCAGAGGCATCGTCGGGGTTATATTTTTGAAGTCCTTATATTTTTAGTGACGAGTTTTACAAACCAGCTCCACTCCTGTCTTTATTATACACCTAAAGTCATTTTTAATGTTTAAAACACTTTAAAATCTCTTCAAATTTTCTATCAATAGATTTTTTTTCAGCAACCTTAGAATAACAACTCCGTGGAGTTAATAAGTACCTAAACAACTCACAATGAACTTGCTATATGTACATACTATAGAAAAAACACAACATGACTTTATATTCACTAGCGTTTTGTTCCGTGTAGTGGTAGCATATTCTTTTCCGTCATAAGCACTTACCACAGGCGCCACTGGCACCAAGTTTAAACACTCTAAATACTACTTTCGTTTATTTTTAACCTATTTAATTTATTAACTAATTGCGGTAAAGTTAAGAATTACAGTCAAAGAGCAAAAAATGTATTCGCAAGTGACAGACTGTGATTGAAGACAGTGATTTATAAGTGACAGTTCTCGTTCGTGACACTTCGTCTAATCATTTTTTATTCGTATGTTCGTTTTGTGAATTTAATTATCAAAACTTAGTTTCGTGCATGCATGTATTTACATGTAAATTTATTTTTTAATTTCATTATTTTTCCATTATCTACGTTAAGATTTTCTTTTAAATTAATGCGATAAAACGTTTTAATTCAATGGAAAGTTCTAAATAGAAAATTACTTCGCTTACTTTCACTTTGCTTTTGAATATCAAATTTCTGCTAGTTAAAATCAAGTGAGCAAACGTCCAGCTTTGATATTCCTTATAATAAAAATATATTTCCATAAAGCAGACTAAAAAAATATTTAATAAAATGTGCCGAAACGCGAATTGAACTTTGAATGATATTTGAACTGTGTGTGTTTACAAGACAGTGGATGCGAGGATACATAAACCGACATTATATTATTGAACATCGACTGGCATTTTTTTAAAGGTAAGTCTTTATTTTTTGGCATATATTGGTAGACGAGCTTACGTTCTGTCTGGGGTTAACAGCTTACCAAAACCCTCAGAAGCGATATCAAGGACCGCAGCTACCCACCCTGAGAACTATCCTAACACATCAAACCGGAACACAAGCCTACATTGGGGTAGAAATAAGCAGGACACTTGCAGCAACACCATAAAATACCATAACAGCTTATAAAGTTTATTTTCAATTTTTTAAGGCTTCTTATATAAAATATTAACATAACTCTTACATACTATTTTGATTTTAAAAAAGGAGTCGATAGAATCGGATTGATTTTCAAGTTTAATTAAATGAGGATTTTAGTAGATAGCAACTTAGCTTTGCCCTGGCATTACTGGCGTCTAAGTGTGATGGTAACCACTCATCATCAGGTGGGTCATATATGCGAATGCCTACAAAAGCAATAAAAAAAAGTAGAGTAATATTTAATATCATGAAAACCTAACAATTACAAATTAATGTTAGAATATAATGTTAATTGAATAAATTATTAATTAATATTTATTGAATACAATAGGTTAACTAATCTTAATTATATAAATATTATTAGTAAAATTTACTTTTGATTCACTATTAAATTGAATTAATGGAAACGAATTGACAGAAAATGTGAATATTCATAGCAGTAAAAAGAAAACAAGTTAATGATAACATCATTTTGATAACGGTATGTTGTGTGACGTCTTATTTTTTATTTTTGTTGTTATACTTTCTATTTATATTTGAATTTGATTCACAACATAGTCAGTACTTTGGGGAAACATTTAGCTTCTGGAATTACTTATGCGGGGTCTCATTTGTTTCACTCAACCATAGCACAGGTTTCCTAGCTTGGTGCCATTAGATGTGCAACAATAATTTAATTACTAAATCAATTTTAGCCTTTTTTTTGCCATTTTAGCCAGGAGAAGCCTATGTCCAGCAGTGGACTGCTATAGGGTAATGATGATGATGATCAAATAATCTGTATAACCAAGAAGTTTGCAAATTCAATACCAAGTTAGTGTGTTCAATTATTATACTTATATTTTTCATCTTATTAATTAATTATCTTATTAATAATTATTAATCATTCTAAAACTAACCAAAAACAGCAGATTAACAAAATTAAAATCCATTCAGAAATAAGCTAATGAGTATGGTTATAATTTCATGCTAAATAAAGAGCACACTTTGTTAACTTTTATTATCAATGTTCACATTAGCCATATATTCAACTTTTATATCAGAACATTGGCTAACATATTGGGATAGTCAAACCGAATAAAGTTATTTTGGCCATATACATATTAACAATAAAATATATCAAAATATGTCTATAAGGAACATACACACAATTTAATATACAAAAATTGATTTATTTTAATAAAAATGACATTATTACAAATTGAATTGATGAATTTGTACCGACTAAGCTTCATTGAGCTCTACCACTAATTGTACCTATTCTTAATATTTTCATAACTGTTTTATTTTAATTTGAGAACATTACTTAAAATTAAAAATAATAAATGAAGTCAGTTCTTATAAAAACAATTTAATTCCTCTGTGTTATCTTCATGGCCTCACACTTGCACCTACGATAACCCTAAATGTAAAAATATTTATTTTCTGGGTATGTATGTTTTATCCTGCTTAATTATGTTGATATGAAATAACCTTGACCAAAAGACACGGTCTAAGAAAAGATCTCAAGTATTATTTGTTCTACGAGGAATACTCTGAGGAATCATTTTGATCGTCGAAACACTTCGGTTATTTCATTCAACCTAGAAACACTGTGTTCATCTATAGTGCCTTGCCAGAGATATTTTTCGCCACGTACTATCCGGCTGTGGAGTAAACTGCGATGTTTTCATAGTGCTAACAACTTCCTATTTTACGAGGTTTTAGTAGAGCCCTCAGCGGTAGTCAACGTCTTGCCTCTGCCCCTCGCTCATTACTGATGTCCATGTACAGAATACTGACCGTCAGATAGGCCGTAGGTCCGTTTGCCTACAAATACAATAAAAACCTTTACATTATTATTGCTTAAAATCTATTTCGAAATTAAAAATGCATTTTTGAATATTCTTTAAATCTATTACTCGACTGGCTACCTTTAAGGGCCTTTTTCCGTCAATGTAATCACGTGATTCAATTTTATGAAATACGTAAGTTGGTTGTAGTCTGTCGCGTCTACAAACATTTATTGATGTTAAGTTACAACAAAGTTTCGTGGTTCAACAACAACAGGATATCCGATAGTTGAACGTTTATCTTGTTATCAAATTCAGTAGTATAAATGGGTCATTTGATATCCCTGGTGGGGCGCACCTAATCGTACGTAATTATCTGTAATTGAGCTCACAAACGCTAATTGACTACAAACATTTGATATGACGAGCGGTGTGTGTGTGTGTTTTTCGTGAATTTGATTCGCTGTCGTCTGCATTAAGCTCTGTGCAAATATTTCGGCACATTTCTGTTACGAAACAAACTGCCCATGAGCCACTTTGAAGGGTACGTAAAGACTGTTCTTTATTAGGACCTAATTAGAAGTTCAAGCCCATCATTGTATTTGCTTTGTGCAGCCGGTAGCATTTATACTGCTGTGTCTGTATAGCCGCTTAAGACCCAATGAAATGTCATGCGTAATTAAAAGATAAACTCGGTAAAAGAGGGATTATTAAAGTTTGACTTGAAATAAAATGCGTGATAATCTTTACAAAATCTAAGCAAATAACTATGTTTGTTGTTGACACGTCGTTTATCGCATTGATTTGAGTTTTTAATAGTTGTTGTTGACTCAATCGAATATTTCCAACACCAACAATGATTGCTATCCAGCCAGCGGTTGCAATTAAATGTGTATCACATTGACAACTTCACTGGTAAAATTCAATTATCTCAAGAACAGTTTCTCAACACTGTTTTCATCGCTATTCGCACTTAAAGCCTATTAATATATATTTATTTAAAGGGGCAGTTCCACGGGTCATGTTAAAATGCGTTGGTTGCAATATTTATGAAACCATAGCAAAGCGATTTGCCATATTGCGGCATAAATAGCACCACCCCTCATCTCTTCCCGCGGGCTTGGGATCGACTAAGATATGGTAACCGTAATCGTCGAACTCGGCTAGGAGTTCGACGTTCAACCTAACACATTTATTTTCATGCGCTAACCCGCCTAATTTCTTGCTGGATCTTCTCAGCGGTTCGCGATTCCGATCCAGTAGTATATTCATTAGCGAAGCAAATGCCCTTGAGTTGTCAGGTTTCTTCCGGAGGCGCTCAGGGAACTCTTATCAAATCCCATCCTTGGCTGTGCTCGTACTCACTCACCTGTCCTGGTGAAACTGGAAAGGCTTCCGGGCTACCAATAATCCTTTCAGCGTACCGTGATCTCCAACTGGGATTTACTGATGGAAAAGTGTATCATTAGCGAGCACGAGTAAGTGCCTGCCTATTTTTGCAACTAAATATAATATTACAATACAATTGAGACTTCGATTTCACGTCTGGGTGAGTGGCATAATTGTGATGTCTATATGGTTCGGTAATTAACCACTAAACGGGTGACTAGAAACTCACTAAGTGAGTAAGTAGTGCGTTCGTCAGCTCGGTTACAATATCGCTGGACCATGCTGGAATGTGAAACCTCTCCTAGTTTCACTTTCGCCAGGTCCAGAGATAATGTAACCGGGTTGTAGTGACCTTTATAGCTACCACTATTGCATTGCTCGGTTACAATATCTCCGGACCTTGCTGGAATGTGAAGCCTCTCCTAGTTTCACTTTTGCCAGGTCCAGAGATAATGTAACCGGGTTGTATACAATAATATTGTTTTTAAGACTTAGTCATTATCAATTATTTTGAAATTGATAAGATTAAACACGCGAATGTTTTATGCCAAAAAAAACACTACCATTTGTTCTAAAAAAGAGGCGTTAACCTAAGAAAAGCGTACAGAACAAACTCAACAGTAAAATTAATTTGGAATAGAGGAGTATCATTGTTCCGTACAATGGATATTATTATTGCATTTACATAATTTAACCGATGTGACTATTTTTCAAATGCTTTATTCATGAGGATTGGCTGTGCATGAGTATATATTTTCTTGAAGTCACCAAGGCCGGTCATTCAGCTGCAAGCTGTCCAAAGTACCGAGTGACAATTGTAGTAATAACCTTGTTGCAATAACTAGTAATTAACGTACAAACATATTGTGGACTCGGATAGTGAACTTTGAATAGTAAATATTATGAAAATTATTAGGTATCATTAGTATTGTATAGGTTTGAATTTATCTGTCAGATGAACTCATTTAATTTCAGTGATGTCATCGTCCTTCTGTATACATAAATGGCGCTGATGTTATTGTCGAAAGTGATTTAGACGCTGTGGGCGAATCGCTAAAAGTTACTATTGGTAAACGTGTTAAAATAAGAGACATACTATTATAACATAATTTTATTTGTCTGCCTATATATATAGCCAGCAGGCCCAAGGGGCTCCGGTCACCGTCCTCGTCGAAGCCGTCGCTTGCACCAAAGGGCTGGACAAGTGAATTAACCCATAGACACGGCCCACTGAGTTTCTCACCGGGTCTTCTCGGTCGGACGCGTTTCCGATCCGGTGGTAGATTCTAGGAAGCACTGCTCTTGCTAGGGCCAGTGTTAGCAACACACCCGATTTGAGCCATGTGAACTCATCTACACGTCAAGGAGAAGCCTCCCAATCCTCGTAGGAAAAAAAAGTCAAGGGGCTGTTCTGGCTTCACCTTGGTTGGTGGACGAACTCCTGAAACGACATAACAATTGAACGATAATACGAATGGAATGTAAAAAAAGAAATTTGACGATGAAAAAAGTTTTGACGATTCGCATACTTGTTTGTAAATAACGATTTTCTAGTCAGCTTTTTTTAATCTAATACCTCGAACGAGTTTGTAAAACTACATCACATTTGCTATATCATCATGAAGTCACTTGAGACTTGAAGCTTTTAAATTTAAGAAAGCGCCATCTGTGTGCGGCGTTTGGTGGCTTAAAGCTCCCAGTGGAATAACTTCAAAGCTTGTAGTTTCACTTTTCACAGGTTTCGTCCATTTCCACAAATATGCGATAGGTGGCACCATGTTTAGAAAAATACTAATGTAGCAATTTCTATATAAATTTTAATAAATGTAAGGACTACAGTTTTCCTCATAATATTTTTTAAAAGAAATATCCATCACAAATCTCACATCAAGAGTATACCGATGTTGGGCAGCAACTGGCAAAACTGCAAAGTCGAATACTCATACAACACTGACATGACCAGATCAAAATTTAAGGGATGTAATATTATATTTATGTTCTTTTTGTTCATGTTTCGTATCCTTATTAATGCCAGGCGTAATCAGACGACACTTCCTGATGGAATATTGAAATAGCCCAATTATTATGGTATTATTAAAGTTCCCACTGATAGGTGTTGCTAAGTAAACAAGTTTTCAGTAGTCGGTGCTGCGTCAACGTAGGATTTAAAAAAAAAAAAACCAAATAAAGAAAAATGGCGCAGAAGTTCCCACAATTCATGCACGCGGTTTATTCATTTCACGCCAAAGGTAGAGAGAGCAAGCAATACTGTATAAATAAAAATAAAACTCTACAGTAAAATTCACCATCTTTCAGCAATTATATTTCATAATTCTATTAAAACTCAAATTGTTTGTTGTAGTTTAATGAGAACTCTAGATTTCGGTTGTTCCAGACTAAGCCGCGTCTGGGAGTCGACCGCAAATTAAAAAACTTGTTTGGCCTGCAGTCCCGTGTGGTCTCTCTCAATTTGTCACTTTTAGGCTTACCGTATACTCACAATTTTATTGTCTAACCTTTTTATTATTATATGGCATTTTAAAGGCGAAAGAGCTTACGGCCATTTCTTATCAAATTGTTACTGAATAATACAATGTAGGTAGCGACCGACGACCCAGTGAAAATCGCTGGGTCAGTTTGGATACAGGTGGCAACGGACAGGCCGCACTGGAGATCGATTGGAGAGGGCTATGTTTAGCAGTGGACAGCTATAAGGCTAAGATGATGATGATGAGGTAGCGACCCATCCGCGTCGAAACGTGAGATCGAAATTTGAATTGTAGGTTTTATTACTGTCTACCACCAGCTACCTAATAAGACTAAATAAAAACACGAAAGTAAATACTTTAAGTATGTTGTGATTATGTATAAGTATAGATTGAGTTATGTATAAGTTGAGTTGTCGCAACTCTCGCCAGCGCTTATAGTTCAGTGAATATTGGCCATTAACAGTGTGGGACGATGACGGCTTAACTCAATACGTGGTCGGTGATCGGTTCCTCGTTATAGTTGTGATATTGTTCCGTGATATAATACCTACACTAGAAAGTAACATTTTTCAAAACAATGACATCTTATGTTTATAAATTATGTAGTAACCTCGGTGGCCTCCACAATAGTAGAGCTAAGAGATTGTCTGCTTATGGGCTTCCAGAGTTTGGTACCAAGGCACGTGACGTGCAGGCGTAAAACCAAGTCCAAAATAGTAGGCAGTATTATATATTCAGTTTACCTATACGATATTTTGACAATGCCATATAAGGCACCGCCTTGTATATAAAATCGGATTGGACAGTAAACACGTGCCAATCTGTAAGTTTTACTATCGACCATATTTAACGGCTCCGCAATAAATACTTCTTGACACATAATAAAATATTCGACTTTAGTACGAGCCGATAGATGCTTATGTGCTTATTTATTATAAATGCGTGGAAATCCCTGACACTACGCGGTTATAGTACGTATGTAGTTTCTTTATTGCCCACCTATTCGCGGGTAGCCTAAGAGGGCTATTTCAGCTGCGCCCGGACTGGTAAGTGAAGAATTTTCTAACACTAGCCCTAGCAAGAGCAGTGCTTCGCAGAATCTACCACCGGATCGGAATCGCGACCCATTGAGAATATCCGGCGAGAACTCAGTGGGCTGTGTCTGTGGGCTAATTTACTCGCCGAGCCCCTCGTCGCAAGCGACGGGGTCGACGAGAACGTTGACCGGTGCGTTATTACTGGTTAATGTTACATTACGTTATTACTAGTTAATGTTATTATTATTGAGCCAAATATTCTAGGAGAGACGAAGGCGCGACGGTTCTTACTCTTGTATGTATTGCGGATAGAGCAGGATCAGGCTGTGATACAAGTGTACATGGATACGTACGTACGTACGTACCGCAGGGACGCCGACCCGTAGTGAGGCCCATAGTGAGTGTCTATGGGCTACTTACGTAGTAGTAGGAGATAGATGTCTATGGGCTCCAGTAACCATTTAACACCAGGTGGCTCGTCCACCCATCTAAGCAATAAGAAAACAAACAAAAAAAATACCAAATGGGTTATACCAATAGGTATAACTAATCTATATAATAATGATGATGAGTATCTAATCAATAATAATAATAATAATTAATAAATATATGTGAGCAATCTTGCTCGG